AAAAAGTCAATAGCAAGTAAAAAATATTGATGTTCCACATTTTTGAGAGGATTGAGAATACAAGGCACCACGCATTGTCGAAAGCACCCTTAATATGCATTGGGCACCAAAAAATCTGTCTTCTTGTCCGTATTGGCTTGTTTTTGCGTAGAAACTCTAATTTTAATTGTAATTTTCTTTCACTCTTTTTAACTCTATTTGGTGTTTTATGTTTTTCTGTATTTTACAATTTTTAATGAAGATATTTTGAGCGTTTAAGTACTGCTTTGCAGTGAAGTGAGAAATGAATTAATTGAATGAGAAATGTATCTCTAGTGAAATTCTAGGAAATAAGTTTAAATGAAATATAGCAAAAAATGTGTAATTTAGTAGGCAGTACGTGGAAGTCATGTTCTGTCCACATCAAACTTTTTTTAAAATTATTTTTAAGCACTAGCTGCTTACACAGACAAGACGGAAAATATTATTATAAAAATGGAAATTATATATGTTTATATAGATAGATAGATGAATATAATATACGTAAGATAAGAAATATAAACGCAAACTTCTAAATTTAATTCACTATAACCTCTTTTATTTTCTAATTCATTTGGGAACTTCATCTATCTGTCCAAAAAGTAGTGCTGTAAGTCTGCTTAGAGCGTCCTTCAAATTTTCAAATCAAGAGGCATCTGCATTAAATTAATCATGAGATTTAATGCAGATGCCTCTTGACCAATCACCAAATTGTAAACCAAAACTCAAAACTGACTCCCTCCCTTCTTTCTATGAACTAACGCGTCACTTTTGCTTGTGCTTTCCTCTTGGCCTGACATCTTTCTGCAGACGTATGTGTGCTGCTATATTCGCTTCTATGGCAATAATATCAACATTTTAAATGTTCTTTAATAGGCACGAATAGAGTGTCAAGCGAATTGTGGCCGCCAAATGGGAATTTAAATAAATAAAAGGAATTTAATGCGGCTCGACTACTTCTTCAAAAATGGATGGACCCTCTAAGCATCAAGTATCTAGGCCATTAGCATTTCTGCGCATAGTGCTTCCAAAATTTTTGCTATCATTACATATATATAACGATTTTAAATGTGTCGAACTAGTTATCTTACATTAGAAAAGTCAAAGAGGGAAACAATATGTGCTTTCGACGCAGTCAGTTGATCAATTGTTCACGTTTACAGAATGTTGAGTGTTGCCATATTCGTTATACTATTTACGTTTGGGATCTAAATCGATATCTTCACCTGTAAAAATCAATCCTGCTTGGAGTTGCAAAAGTTGTTCAATTTTATTATTATTACTAGTGCAAGTACCCGATGTCAGTTACGTGTCATTGACAGCAATGTATCTAACAACAGAGAGAACGTAACCTCTGTAATCATTCTTTAATAACAAGACACAAAATACGATTCACAGTGATACGTTTTTTAGTGTGATACGATATGGAACCCACATAAAAATTTCGACAGAAAAATAAACTAATTCTCTCTTATTATATCAGCAATAATGCCAGGCAGTTTTTAATGAATTTCGTCTTTCTAATCAAATGGTCGTAAACCCTAAATTCAATATTTCACCCATACTCAAAATGCAATTCATATTAAGAATGCATCAATGCAGCAGGACACATAATTTATAATCCCTTAATAAATTAGAAAATTCTCATTATATATATATATATTTTCAGTATCCTCTGAATAGATTCGTTTAATAATAATTTATGCAAATGCCAAGAACAAAATGCTTGTAAAAAATATTTTGCATTTCAAAATATGATATGGAACACTGATTATAAATTCAAGTGCTGGAAGTTTTAGCAATTATAAAAAGATGAAAGCTTTATATTTTAAATCTCTTAATACCAACTTATTAACTATTCAGGAAATTCACTTTTTTGATTGAGTGGCATCGTAAACACGTTCTTTCTACTCGATCCTCGAAGCCACTTGCTAGGAAAGTTACAAATCTTTAGATTAAAGAGGATTTAATATTTACGGAAATTTTATAGGTTCTGAAATTTTTTCTTTTTCGCTTTGCTAAATATATTTTAATATATTCATAACTCTATTAATTTTGTATACTTCAGGACAGAGATGTAATTATAAGGATGCCGTCTTATGTTGCATGTGTATGAATTTTAAAATTCTTTAATTATGCATTTCTGTGGTCCGTAAGTTAATTTAATTACAAATAGAATGACTGCCCTCTTTCTTCATATTCTTTCGTATACATAACGAACATAATGTTTTCAAAATGAAAATTTAGGAAAATATGTGTAAATAAATATTTTAAGATTTAGCGTGCCAATATTATTTCTAAATTAATATTTTAACGATATGTATAACATCTCTCACATCTTTCTAGACACACTGGTATTTAAGTTTCAATTTGGACTTCGAGTTGTACTTCCTACATTATTATCTTCTTGCTTTTCCGGAAAAAATGTGAATTTATTTATTGAATTTTGATTTTGGCTTCAATTTGGATTTCGAGTTTTTACGCCGGAATATTATTATGATCTTGCTACTTCGGAAAGACTATAAGAATTTCACAGCGCCGCCTCTATTTCACTTGTAGAATAATTATATTACAAGTAACGTAGAATATTTATATTATATATTCACACGTAGAATGTTAATATTACAAATAAAAGCAAAACTAAAAATCCAAACTAGAAGAATTTTTTAAATCTCGTACGAAATTTATGAACTAAAAATCTCGTTAAAAGGTAATTTCCGCGTTATTGCCAAACTAATATATTTCGCGAAATGTTTAGTTCATCCAGGCGTCGCATGACGGCAGCCAATTCGTCATTACTTAATGAAAGTATGCCATATGGCTAATTTCCTATTTTAACATCTATAAGCCTATTCAGTGATTTCATAATCATTAGAATTATCACATGCGTTATTTGCCAGCACTCGCCTATAAGCCAGAAACCAGACATTTCATAATAAAAAGAAGCTGATACGGATTTACAGCATTTGCCATAATTAAGATGTCTGGAGTATTAATAGGAAACCAGATTTTTGAAGGAGTTTTACTAGAATAGGACTGACACATTTTCTGAGGGGCAGAGCAGTACATCAATCGGTATTAGTATTGTCACTAAATATATTATTATAAATCACCTAAAATAACACTAATAGTTTGTAGTAAAATATTTTCCTTCCGTGAATAATTTAAATTAGAAACTGACTCAGTGAGATTCAGGAATGCCCTCACTGTTCTTAACTACTTTACCGCAAATGCTACATACAGTGGCTCAAACAATTGAGAATACACCTTACTTTCACTTTATAAATCTAACTTTCAATATAAATAACACATTACCAAGAAGAGCAAATGTGTTTTTATTTTTACACATAACTAATGGTTTAATTTAAATTCAAAATAAAATAAGAAAGTTTTTTTAAAGAATCCAAAGAGGCGTTTTTTAGTAGTCCAAAGGGGCCAATTTCCCCTGACGAGAATTTGGCAAGAAAAAAAAGGCACATAACTTTGCTAAATATAAATCTGCTTAATTTAAGCAATAAAATTAATTCGCATAAATGTTTTCTCGCGTTGGGATAAAATACGGTACCCCCGATTAAATGAAGTGGACATGTCGAAGCCCCTAATTCGAATTGTTTATATCAACCTTCCACATTAAAAAAATGACTGGAACTGACGAAAAACGCGCATTTTTCAAATACGCGCGAGACTCTGTATCGAAAATTCTAAAAAATGCTCATTTTAAAATTAGTTTGCGATATGGCTGTTAACTTAATTTTAGTTTGAGTACGTAGAACATAATATTTAATAAATAAAGGTAACACACAAAACGTTCCCTTTTCTTTGGACGTATTCTTTTCGCACTTTTTCTTTTTTCTTTTTTTTTTTCATTTAAAAATTTTGTGTGTTATTATTTATTAAATGCTATTGACTTAAAATTCAGTTCTCGTGAGCATATCTTTCGATGAGTCTCATAAGAAAATTTTTTTTTTTTTTTCGTACAGTGTTGCCATTGCTTGCTTTGAAATCCTTGAGTTTGTTAATCAAAAATTCATTAATGTTTTATAAATATGAAATCGATAATAAAACAAATTCCGGATACCCATATTCGAAGTAGAATTATGTCATTCAAAATTGGATGGCTCTCGGTACAGTTTTTTTATCACAATGCGAGAAACATACATACATTTATGCAGATTCTTCATTATTTGATTTTTTTCAAATATAATACCGGGCGATAATATTTGGTGGCAACAGTTTGAAAAGTGAAACGGTCATTCAGATTCGACGGAAAATCGTGAAAAGAAAACAGTAATCCCTCAGGGACAAAGCCTCTTTAGACTAATTAACCAAAAAATTATAAAATAAAAAATCAAATCAGAAGCATTTTAAATAATCATATGCAGATTTTTGCCTCAAAAAAAATAGGAATACACCAATGAACTTCTTATGATATCTCACATACAAAGAAAGTGTCAATACTTTATTGCATGTCTTTTGACTTTTATGATCCTCTATGCCTGCAGTTCAGATTTTTTAACTTGTTGTCCTATGGGAAAAAACTAGTTTCGAAGATGGGTCGGCTACGTCAGTTGTCTCTGTTAGCTCAGATAAACCTCAGTGGGAACGGCCCATTACAAACGTCGTGGTAGTATAGTTCGACCGACTCAAGCGCAACAATGGTTGGTATTCTGCCAAAACACAAGAGACTCGTCCAAAAGGGGCGGTATTACTTGCTGCGACGTGAAAGGTTTTCTCTTCTCCGGAAAGAGCTATACTGGAGGAAAAGAAATTCCCCATCCTTCCACCCTATTTTGGGAATAATTCAGTCCTAATGGCGCATGCGTTTTTCCGCCCATGGTCGCGGATGAGGCAGTCGAACTATACCAATTTGACCAACATTTTGCTCATATCTGAAGATATTTTATCCCATTCTTCTTGCAACATTGTTTTAAATGTGCTTTGTTTTTAATTCTGTGTTTTTGGATCGCTGTTTCGACTGTGGCTCATAGATTTGCTATGACACTGATGTCTGGGGACTGTGGTGGTGTGTATAACTGTTGTTTACAATGAAACAGACAAGACATTTTGATGTTATGAGCCGTGTGTTTGGGGTCATTGTCTTGCTGGATTATGAAATTTCCATCAAAACCTAACTTTTTAGCACTTTCTTTTAGATTAATGTGCAGTAAACCATAACAAACCATAACGGAGCCATCACAATGTTTAACTACAAGATATAAAGTTTCGGATCCAAAATGATGTTGGCTTTCTGGTTCGGTGCGACGGCTGTCACTGCAGAAAATGATGAATTTACTTTCATCAATGAATATAATTTCTTCCAAGAGTTATCAGTTTTCAATTGATGAGTTTTTGCAAACTGCAGACTCATATACTTCCTACTTTTACAAGCTGATGAATGGTCTCTTTTTAGCAATTCTACTTTTATATCCAGCTTGTTTAATTACATTTCGCACAGTTTCAACACTTACACTTCTGCCAATGATTTGAGAAGTATCTGCAGCAAGTTTGACTACACTTACCTTAGGATCAATGTTGATAGCTTTCAAAATTTTCCTTTTGAATCACTCAGAAAACGTCTCCTTCCTCTTACACTTTTACTTTCAATCAATCCATCACTTTTCAATTTTCCAATGATTTTCTGAACACACATGTCACTTCTGCCAACAATTTTATCTATATCACGGTTTATGTAATCTTAGTGCGAATTTCCTTACGACCATACTGGTTTCTCTTCGATGAGCCATTTTCTATTTAAAATTGTGACTTAAAGTTCATATAATAAACTTCATCACAGAAGTGAAGAGGTTTAAGATAAGATCACGTAACATTAGATCAAAATAGAAGCCACGTAGAAAAAAATATAGTCGTAGTTAAGCATATTTTTCATTGGTGTATTCTCAATTTTTTGAGACAAAAATCCGCAGATGTTTACTTAAATGCTCCTGAAATTTTTCATTTTAGAATATTTTTGTTTGGTTGTTCTTTATTTTTACTTTAAATTAAATCAATTGTTATTTGTAAAAATAAAAACGTGTTCTTGGTAATCATATTGAAATATATGATTGCCAAGATTGATATTGAAAATTAGATTTATCAATTAAAAGTGAAGTGTAATCTGAATTGTTTGAGCTAATGTATGTCTTTGCGCCAATATTATTTGGCGACTTTTCAGGCAATGAAAACATAATTCTTGCAGTTTTGCTTCTCGCCTTCTGTCTGGAATTGCCAATCTGCATCATGTGTTTTGACCCTGAGTAAAATACAGCTTTCATGCAATGAATTGGTTAACACAGCGGGACTTATCTTAATCCCTTTAGAGAGCGTAATTTTGTTCGAAGGTTTTTCTCTCGACTCTACTCTAATTAACTGCACTCACTTAATATTCTAAAACAAGTACACGCGTGGTGTATTTTGTACACCGCCAAAAAAGCAAACGAAAAAAAAAGCTAAATAAGAACAAATATTTATGCTATAAGATTTAATAACCTAAACTGTTAATTAAAAAGTAATAAAATTTTTTGAATAAAAGCAAAATTATACATAAATTTTAGCCACTGAACATATTAAATTTCATCTGTGATGTCCCCTTGCTTTGCACTCCCGACAAATAGTTACTGTAATTGCATGTTTGGTAAAAGTTTACAATTGGATTCCCCTTGTTTTTCTGGCGATTCTTTTTTGACGCTAAGACGCGCTTTTGACAATTTCAGGATGGCCGCTGCGCAAAACAAAAATAAGAAGTCAAAGAATTGCAAAAAATCGATGTCCATGTACACATCTATCTTTTTTTTTCACTTATAAAAATTAGAGAATTGCACAAACTCGGCACTGCGCACTGCTTGACATCTTCCACGTATACATCGATCTGTTTTCACTTAAAAAAATCAAGAAGCTAAAACCAAGTTAAAACTATCATGGTAATCAGAAATGGGTTTCATCGCCAAAATTTGTCACCAATGGGGGCACACTAAAGCCACAGGTTTTGCCCACATATAATGACGCGTAATCGTTGTCACCCTATTTTTCTGTCTTCAACAAAATTCCCAACTTTCGCTTGTGATTCATCTTTTAGTCGCTCTTCTTGAGGTCTATGGTATCATCTTAGGAAAAAATAAAAGAATATCGGGAGGTAATGCATTTATTTCTGCTCTATCTTCGTAAAGTGGCTTCATCAGTCATACAGATAATTTTTTTAGAAAAAGTATCCTAAATTTTTGGGCGTCATTAATCTGCATAACGTTATAAAAATTTGGTTGTCTATTCCACCTACGTTTACCCACTTGGAAAAATATTACCCATAACCCCCTCCTTGTTCGCCTGAATACAGAATACGTACTGCACACTGTATCTACCCTTCCTTTATCATAATTATCTTACATTATTAGCCACTGTACCTATCTCTCCTTTATTGGAATTGTAGTCCATAATAATCTCCGGATTCTTTGTTTCAGGTTCAGTTATCAGTGCCGCAACGGGCGGCAGAATTTAGGAGCGACAAAATTTGTAAAATTTAGGGAATTACCGGACGGCAGATTCTAGGAATCGAACTGATTGCGCCGGGCGGCGAAAAGCCTAACGCTGGAACTGCTGGATACGTAAAAAATCAGATTTCTTGCTAGCATTATAAAACTAACGTGATGTAGAAACTTAACAAATGGACGACTTTTGCTTACAATTTAAATCTCTGCAGCTTGTAGGATATCGGTATGACAAAAAAAGAATTTAATTTTATTTGATGCTAGAGACTGTAATTCAAACAGCTTAATAAGCGTTGGTTCAAAGTATTAAGTACACTATTAATTGCGAATACTAAAATAACTAATGCCGGATAGCTAACTGTAGTAAAACGAAAAGTACTACTGTCAGCGTCCTCGGTACACTCATCTGTCTAACATGGCATATAATCTTTATCGCATTCCTTACTTATCCATACGTTTAAAATTATTAGTATATTCATTTCTACTCTATAACCTGTGTATTTTCTTCACTTTATCTAAACTGTAATCTTGTAAGTATTATGTAAATATTTCTCCGATTTTTTTTTTATACTTGCACATATTCTGTAAAATGTTCCTTTAATATCTGGCACAGTGTGTGTTTTTATGAAATTAATCTAAATAAGCATATAATTTATGCAGTACTACTTTCCAACTTACTGACTGTTTATTTTTAGGAACACAAAATTCTAGTGTATTTCCTTCACGGCCGTGTATGCTTATACATTTCAACAACATTTATTTAAGATTTGTCCTCTATTTAGCCTTCCCGACTCTTGGCCGTGGTGCACGGATTTCCCCCCCCCTCAAAGTGCAAACAATACTAGCTTAAGCATATTAACAAGTCTGTTGTCTTCTTGGAGCTCAGTCTCGGAGATTCAGCACCTCTGTCTAAACTTTCAATAACTGTCTGCTAAATTCTCGTATCTCTTTACATCATGGTGAGAGGTAACGAAAAGAAGTGACAGTGTAGCTACAAATCGTAAAACAAATCTAATGTGTACACCACATCACTTCCTTGTACGGTACATTAAATAATACCAATTTTTCTTGCATTTCATTTAAATTTATTTCCTCGAATTTCATTAGAGATAGATCTCTCATTCAATTAATTCAGTTCTCACTTCGCACCAAGGCAAAAATACATAAAAACTCAATATTACCTTCATTAAAAATTGAAAGATAAAGAAAAACATAAAACACCAAATCCAGTTAAAACAATTTTAAGAATTAAAATTACAGCTTCTACGCAGAAACAAGCAATTCGACCATCAGGCAGATTTTTCGGTGCACAAAACTAAAAGATTCCTTTTGGTCCTCGGCAAAAAGACACTAAAGGTGAAGAAAAATTCACTATTCTGCTAAGTTCCAAATGTAAACAAGTATGGCTGCTATGGTTAAAAAACTTAGGTTTAGCCGCACTTAAACAACTTTTAAATTGTTGATAATTCTACATTTATTGCATGCAGATTAACTAAAGGCATAAAAACCTTAACCGAAAGATAAGAACAACAGAATTCAGCCATATTTAAAACAAAAAATGCGCAATGCCAACATATAAGAATAAGAAAAACTGAGCTCACTGACCCGAGTAACAGAGTTATAACCAAAAGTATATAAATATATACGTATAGTAAGAAATGTAGAACTAATATTTCACAAAGACCAGAAATTGAAATTCATAATTAATAAATTGCAAATAATTATACAAATGTAACAAAGAATTTTGAAATGTTAAAACCAAAATATTTCAAACAAGCAAAACTCCAAATTAATGTAATTACAGGTAACACTGGTACAATATTATTAATTGTACCAGTATACCAGTATTCAGCCGTCAGTTATTATATATATGTAATAACATAATAATATTAATTATATATATATAATATGTATATATATATATATATAATATATATATATATATATATATATATATATATATTTATATATATTATAATATAGAGATATATATATTATATACTTTGGTGCGCCCGATTACAACCAAAACAGGAGGTGCACAACTATATGTTATAGCAGCACTATATACTAAATTTCAAAGTTCTGAGTCTACTGGGTATTGAGTTATCTGTGATATATACGTACGTACACCGGCCACGAAAAAAATCTCTTTAAATCCATTTTAAGTCAGTTTTATAATTTGTTTGGGGGGAAAATGTCCTTTATTCTGTTCTTACGTACAGATGTCAATCAAAAACAACGTTCAATTGCATTCGATGTTGGTCAAAATGGATATTGTCTTTGAAGTATGATACCCGGTATTTTTTGTGATTACAATACTTCTTTTACTTCGTACAAGGAAGTAAAAATGGTTTAATTAAAATAAAATACACTTAACAACCTATTTTCTTAATTTATCAGCGAGCATTAACATCGCAGACAGGCAATCACATAAACGGAAAGATTGGAATTTTTATGTCTTTTCATTTATCAACTAACGTTCATCGTACAGTCTACGACAGCGCAGCTTGCTACAACCTCCATTAAAATACACTGAGCCGAATTGCAATATGAACTGCCACGGGACTCTTTATATTCAAAACTGATAGCTGCACATCCTTCACAATCCAGAGTTTTGAATACCTTTGAATGGGGTCAGAAAGAGCGGAACGAATAAAATGGGTGGAACACATCCATGCTACAACAGCCATGCGGTCGTACATTGGCTTTTTCCGTTGACATCTAAAAGCAATGATACTTCGTTGCAGTGGTGAAGTCGGGCATACGAAGGGGGATTAGAGGGGTGGGGTCACGCCGGTGGGTTATTAAGACGTGTGTCGGCGTGAGCATTACTCCCCGCCACGTGGCAGGGTGCATTGTTCCATGGACGTCGATATCCGACAGTTGGGAAGAAGGAGGGTGAGCTGAACTAATAATATTGATTAATAGGTCCCTTCGAATGGGTGTAAAAAAAGAGAGAATTGGGTTTCGTTGCAAACATAATAACGTGTTCTGGAACTCATGTATATTCATGCGA